ATTTTATTTGAATGTAGTTTGTGCCCTTAATGGCAGGCTCTAATTTTGAGTCTATTTGGTGATCGGTTAAATAAACATCTGTTGCAGCGTCCTTTTGACAGCAACCTCCACGTCGATGGAAATAGACTTGCTACCTTCCTAAACTACGTAAGTAATGTGTGTGCAGTTTGTTATTATGTATCTTCACTCTTAAATTTTATCTTTATAGAAAGATGAGCCAGATGCTTTCAAAAGATTAGGCACTGGAAATCGTGTGGCGACTTATTTAAACTACGTAAGTATACGTATCTGTTCACTGCTGATTGAAGGCAGTGGTGGCCATCTCCTGGCATCCACTCTCCATCGTTTCACTCCAGCTTCATGGACATAAGCAAAGGCTCTGGCTCAATGTTGGACTTGGATTGATTGACTTTCATAGACACGTCTGATAGTGTGGCATTAATTCACCTGCAGTGTGTTGTCATAATTTTTAAGTTCACAATCAAGAATTAGTGCAAAAGGTTGTAACATTTCTTTGGCAATAATACTGAATAATGTCAATACATAGCAAAATGATGTTTACCTGTCAATCAGTTCTGGTACATATTGTAGAGAGTTTTGTTGTCCGTGCGCCATTAACAGGCCGACAAAGATCCTTGTTTTGTTTTTTTGTTTTTTCTTTTGCCTTTGCTAGCACTGAGCTGTCTATGAGACAAGATTTTAATTTTGAATGATGTAGAGCATGTAGTGTATGCATTGCTGCACCCCACCTACCCACCCCCGTTCACGGTTTAAATTCATACATCATACAATGTACATGTTTATCTATACCGAAAGAAAACTAACAGCATTGAGGGAAGAACTTCACAACATGAACAATCACACTTTTTATTTTTTACATAACTTATTGAGACATGACGTAGTATGGAATAGCGTCTTACGAGAAGCCAGTGATCACTAGTGATTATAAATGATCTTGTCTTTTTTCAGATGAGTGATGTTGAGGCAGGAGGTGCCACAGTCTTCCCTGACTTTGGAGCAGTAATCTGGCCAAGAAAGGTGATGATATTTTTATGTTTCTTTGATTGTGAGCGAGCTTGTGTGAAGACCTGC